AAAAAAAAAGGGAGTAGACAATAATAAAAAGTACATATTTAAGGAATATGTTTTTTATATAATTTGTATAGAAAACGTATTCCCTAAATACATTTTTTCAGATTTTTTTACAAAAGAAAACGTATTCTGTGAATACGTTTTACAATTAAAAAATGGTAAAACGTATTCACTGAATATGGGGTTTTTATTTTGGTCCACTTTTATTTGTTTGTGTATTTTTTTTTCCACAACTTAATTTTGTTTAATTTTCTGGTAAAAAATTCAATATTTCTCGGGCATGCATAAAGGTTAGTTCAATAGTATTTGATTTCCAAGTGGACAAATATACATATATATATATGTTCACATTTAAGGTTTGAAAAATATATAGAATAGTTAGACGTGTAAGAAACGGGAGACAACGGGTGCAAGTAAGGAGGAGTAAATCACTAAGCATATAAATTAGATCTATTTTCCATGTATGTCCACGTGGGAAAAACAGACGATGTGAGACAACTCACAAGTGATATTTTAATACGTCTCCTTACTTGTGAGTGCCCTATGGAGTCGGGAGCTCAAGCCCAACTGAGTTGGGTGACGGGTACCATCATCGCATGGTCCCACATAGATGATGTAGGACAAATCACAAGTGATATTCTAATACGGTCTCTCATTTGTGAGTGCCCTATGGAGTCGGGAGCTAAAGCCCAACTGAGTTGGGTGACGGGTACGTCATCGCATGGTCCCACGTAGACGATGTAGGACAAATCACAAGTGATTCTAACACGGTCTCTCACTTGTGAGTGTCCATGAAGCTGGGAGCCCATTACAAGTGATATTCTAACACGCCTCCTCACTTGTGAGTACCCATGGAGCTGGGAGCCCATCCCCAACTGGGCTAGGTGACGGTACGTCATCGCACGGTTACACGTAGAACCGTCTCTGATATCATGTAAGAAATTAACGTGGGGAAAACGGGTGCGAGATGAAGCGCACCATGAACAGTGAAAGCTCGTATGAAGTCAAAGTGAGGTTCCACTCCAAATCAATTGGTGGAATGAGGAGTAACCCACTAGACTTATAAATTAGACTCATTTTTCTTTTATAAACTATGTGGGACAACTCACAAGTGATATTTTAACAAGACGAAATAGACCACTTGTGAATTTTAGCTTGGACTCGATTCGTTCAGGGTTGTGAATAAGATTTATCAAGAAATATTTTCTTACAAAATCTCTTATCCAAACAAACTTGTGGACGTTATAGTTTAGTTCGTTAATGTCGATAAAGTAATTGAGTTCGAACTCATCACTTGTCGGTTCAACTTGATAAATGTTTGAATTTGAGTTATGGCTATGTTTGGTAAAACTAGCTGATAAGCTAGCTGATAGCTGATAAGCTAGCTTATAGCTTATATGTAATATTTGAGCTTATAGCTTATAGCTTATGACTTATAGCTGAAAAGCTAGCTTATATGATAAAAGTGTTTGGTAAAATTAGCTGATAAGCTAGCTGGAATAAAAAATTCAACTAGCTTATTTGAAAAGCTACCTAAACAAGCTTATTAAATAAGCTCGAGCTTTTTAAATAAGCTCGTCCTACCAAACGGGGCTTA